ATGCTGTACTAACACCCAATGGCACAGTTAGATACATACCATTAAGGATTAATCTTGTCCCATTAATGTTGACAGTTTCAATCTCTTTTTTATGCAACTAGGAAAAGAAAAAAAATGTGCATTTTACAGTAATAATGCATATTCAATTCAATAGGGGGATTAATGTCCCCAAATAAACACAATTTAGTGCTTTGATTATTAAAAATGCCATTTATACTGCTGTTTCAGACTAATCATTATTTTTAAACTATACCTGTATTTTTTGTATTTTTACAGACTAGTCTGCTTGGACAAAAGAAAACTGTAGTGCTTCTAAAAATATATGTCCAGTTATTACATATCTTGCAGCAGCATGCTAAATATCTGTGTTTCAGTAGCACTTCAGTGACCAGTTGCCTCTAACCAGAGCAATTCAAATTATGCATTGCTCAGTGGCAAACAACTTTGAGTGAGCTGTTCTATCCAGACAGGGTAATTACTGAAGTTCCTCTTATTAAATAAAATAAGAAAGAGGTGTGTGTGTGTGTGTGTGTGTGTGTGTGTGTGTGTGTGTGTGTGTGTGTGTGTGTGTGTGTGCTTGTAACTCTAATTATAAAATTGTGACTCAGAGTCCTACATCAAGTGCATCTGTACAGCTTTTTACCCAATAGCAAACAATTAAAGACTTCAAATATTGTTATAATTCAGATATATGAAATAATTTATAATTCAGTTAAGGTTTTAGTCCTCCTAATGACTTTACACCTAGGAGATCCATGTGAAGGTTTAGGGAAGAATCAGGGTTTTGGAGGGAACCAGCCTCCCTTGTCCTTCATTTTGTCTTCACAGTATTTCAGAACTTTTCAATGCCATTTCTATCTCAAACACCTTTCCAGGGTGGTGGTGGAACCTCTAATGGAGAGGAAATCACTGCAAGCAGCCTGTTTGCAGGTGGCACTCCAGTTTGCACAGAGTAATTTATCAAAAGACCAGGGAAATATGAAGAGATGAAATCTGTCATGCAGTGTTACAGCATCGAAATCTCTCACCCTCTGTGTGGACAGTCACACAGAAAAAAACCAAAACTATGTGGACTCACCTGCTCTGTTCCTGACATTCCATATGAAGCTACGTGAAACACACAGTCAGCCCCTTCACAGACTGCCAATATGGCACTGTAATCCCTGATATCTGTCTGTAATACATAAGAAAAAATATTTGGACAAGAGAGCAAAGCTAAGTATTTGTCATACAGTAGGTTAGCACAGAGGGAATCCATTTACAGAACGCATATATAGAACTGTACTTGCTCTACACATCTCTTGGGACTCAAAACTGGGTACACCTCCCTGCTTGCTGATAACTATACTTTTCTTCCATAGAACCCAAAGAACTTTGAAGACATTCATTAAGGTTCACAACAGTCCTATGTTTATTCTACAGGTCTAGGCCTAGATGAAGGCAGGATCCTGAGGAGTCAGGGGTGAAACTGTTCCATGCATTACAGGTTTTGCTTTCCTTATTTCAGATATACTAAAACGCATTCACCAAAACTGATGTGGGATGTTCACACAGTTAAAAAGGTTACTGAAATTTGAAATAATCAGCAATTAGGTATTTGGATTCTATGAAAATTAGGAAGACATTATGGAAAGACATTATGGAAAAGGCAAATGAAGTAACTTTGACTATTGGGAAGATATTACTTATCATACCTGGATCCACACCACTCCATTGGGAGTCGCCCACAAAGGCTTGTTTATGTCACACAGAACAACAGAAGCTCCTGTGCTGGCAAGAGCACATCCCAGCTTGTATCCACAATAGCCACCTCCTCCTGTCACCACGGCTCTCATACTGATTTTACTGGGTGTTCCAGCATACTTGCTCTGTCTGCCGTCAGAGGTTCGGCGATAGGATGTTGCTACTGCATTCATTTTTGGTTTTGTGTCAATGAAATACTGCCCAGCACTACCAGTTAGAAGTAAAAATTCCTTCTACATGGTGAAACTTGCTCTATAGCACTCCTGGATGCAGACAATTTCAGGGAGTTTCATGTTGACAAGATCTAGTCACAGCAGCAAAATCTGGCTTTAATGCAGCCTGCCTAAGAGAGATAAAGACAAAAGCAAACCAAAATTTACAGTCTCCAGTTTACTGCCAAGACGGACATCTGAGAGAAGTGGTATTTCCAGCTTTTAAGTACGAGCAGCTAAACATAAATTAAGAATACACTGAGTAGTTATCATTGGCAGTGCTGGAGTTGAGATAGATGAGGATTTCAGGAGGGAAGAGGGATGCCTGATCCTTACGTTATAACTTTAGAAGGTGTATCAGAGAACAAGGCTATCGAATCCCTTGCTTTCGAGGGGAACTCGCATAAAATAGCTGCTATACTATAGAAAGGCTTAATAACTGCATGAAGAAAAAAGTAACAGTGAATCACTTATTTTCTGAACGTAGGGGTTCTTGCCCTTCTAGGGGTTCCTCACCGGCAGTCAAGACATTTCAGAGGCTGTGGCTACCCGCTCCCTCCGACACCCGGTCCCTGCCCTGGCCGCAATTAAACATTCAAAGCCACCCGAGCCCCGCCGGGGCTCTCCGCATCTCACCTGCAAAGCGGCCTGGCGGCAGCGCAGGACTCGTGCTCGGGCCGGCCCCGCCCGACCCCGGTCCCGATCCCGATCCCGATCCCGACCCCGATCCCGATCCCGGTCCCGGTCCCGATCCCGCTCCCGACCCCGATCCCGATCCCGCTCCCGGTCCCGGTCCCGGTCCCGGCCCGGGCCGCTCCCGCGGGCGGCGCCGTTGGGGCCGTTGGGGCGGCCGCGGGAGCGGCTCCGGGCAGAGCGTCCGGCCCGGCCCTGCCGGCTCCCCGCGGGCTCCCGCAGCATCTCTGACATCCCGCCGCATCCCCAGGCTCCCACAGGACCCCTGGGTCCCGATCATCTGGCAGTAGCTTTGGGATTGCACGGCTTTCCTGGGATCCTGCTCATCACACAGCATCCCTGTAGCTCACGGCACCCCGGGGATCCTACAGCGTGTCACGGTATTCCTGCCTTGCCAGAGCATCCCTGGGATCCCAGAGCATCCTGCGGTGGTTCTTACCTCCAAGTGTCTTCACACAGCTGTGACTGCTGCACAATAGCATCCTGTCAGTTGTAAGGGCTCCGGTCACACTGAGGTACCTGTTGAACAGGTTGTTCAGGAAAAAAACACCACCTCCTGCCTACTGGTTGGACAGTCAGGGGCAGGACATGGCTCATAGAGATGCAGAACTTCTGAGACATCTGCAAAACAGCAGGAATTCCCAAAGAGGCACAAATAAACAATTAGGCACTAAGGTCCCTTTCCACCTGAGCCTCCTTGTGGTCATTTGAGCCTGGGAGGGTGTGAAAAGGGTCAGGAGCTGCAGAATTTCAGTCACACATTCCAGGCAAAAGTTAGTCTTTGAACACGTTTACCTCTTTTGTTACAGCTGTGCTATGTCTGAAGTTCATATTAAATTTTAATCACTTAAAGACACATTGTAGTTATGTTAGAGTAGGAGTAACTTAAACAAGAGTCAGCTTAAACTGAGATTCAGTAAAGACCCGCAGAAATAAGAGAGCTGGCTATTCCCAGCTGGTACTGAGGATTGTTTTAAAATCTCAAATATTGCATTTGTAAGAAAGATAAACAAATGTACTGAAGCCAATTATTGTTAATCAGTGCTGTTATAACAGTGATGTAAAAAGCATCCTACCCAAAATAACAAACCACAGGATTGGTGTTATAGGACTGAAATGATGGGACTCCATGGGGACTTACAAGCACAAAGCCAGTGAATTCCTTGGTTAGTCCTTACTGAGGAGCATCCAAGGCCAGAGCCTTCACTCCTGTGAAAAGTGGTGGTGTAATCCAGGATGCATCCTGAGCTATTAGTCCAATAAAAGTGATATGAAAAATTTATAAATAACTAATTTAGAACCAAATTGAATGCTTGCATGCAACTAAAATGCTCTCACTAGGAAGTAACTTTACACTTGTGGTTTTCTATTCTGCATTTCTAGGAAGTAAAGGCTTACATGGTACTGACTGCCTGCAGCACTTGCTGGCTCAGCTGCAGCTCTGTAGTGATAAATTGTGAATTTAACTGGTTTTAATCAAACCTGGCTAAAGATCTCCTATAGAGAGAACTTCTTTAAGCTTCCTGTATAGGAATAGGAGACAGGGCTGAGCAGTGCCCCTGCTAAATGAAGATCTACAGTGGGAGCTTACTTTGTATGGACAAGGATAATCTCCAAATGTGAATCCATAATCAAGCAGACTCTACTGCTCTCATTGCACACAGAAATTATTGTTTAGTGAAAAGAAAGCAGGGTAAAACAAATCTTTGCTTACACAAGGTGCAGTGATAATTGTGGTTGCTCACGCATTTTCCTGTGTATTGTCTTTTACCTGTAACCTTTATTCTTCCAGCATTACTGTTGGCTCTCCTGCATATCCTATAGATTTAGAGTGAGAGAAACTATAAACATACTGGTCTTAAAAATCCTGTAAAAGGCTAAGAAAATGCAAAATGAATACAGAGTATAGGTAATCAGATGGCAGAGCTGTTCCATCATTGTCTTCCATGACCCACTGTGGCAAATCCATCTCTCCTGATCCATGTGGGGTGCAAGAGAGGGAGCAGCTGTTCCCTGGTCAGAGCAAAGCTACTTCCTAAGGAAAAACTCCTAACATCTTTAAGGTTTGTCTGGGCTACACCTGGTGTATACATGTAGCACAGGTGGCTCACATACTGCAATTCACCCAAAAAGCAACTGATGTGAGACTTAAGAAAGGGGAAAAGAGAGAGGTTGGATTCTCACTCCTGTCTTGGTGCTTGGCTTCGTTGCTCACCCCAAAATGCAATTCCCTGAACACACAGTGTGTGCCAGCACTGCTACAGGGTTGTGGAGAATGTGACTCCAGAGAGCAGTAACAGCTGGCTGAAATCCACCTTCCCACCAGCTTCTTACAAACAGGAAGTTCAGTTATTTGGTTCAGTTATTATTTATTATTGCATTGAAAGGATATTATTTAATTTACAAACACACATAATGATATTTATTACATTTTTACAAAGCTTTAGAACAATACAACTATTTTACATAAATATGATTTCCACTCCTCTAATCAGCTATTATTTATAAATATTTACTTTCCATATTTTTCCACTGTTTCCCAGGTCTCTGTAATTCCTCAGGCTAACTGACAGTAGCTGTAGCTGTGGCTTCATCAGAAGAGTTGTTTAATCACCCTTTTCTTCATTGGAGCTACTGGACTTGTTACAGCACTGTTGTCCTGTGACAGTTCCTCTTCTTCCACCTTCTCCCCTTCCCAAGTTATCATTTTTAGAAAATGCTTCCCAGCATGAAACATCACTTAATGAAGATCCATGAAAACTATTCCTGCACACATTTGTGGTGACCTCCTTTGCTGTAATACTGTGTTGCTCTTGGGAAACATTTCCTGATACATCCTACATTTTCACTTTTCTAGTTGTTTTTGTTTGGGTTTTTTCTTTCTTAATAAGGTCAGAGAGGTGTCATCATAGTAATATGAATAACAAAGTCCAGAGTGGCTGAGGAATGTACTATGACCAGATAATTAATACTCAGAAACAAAATTAAATTTTCTGGAACAGGTGAGTGGCTATTTGATTTTAGAAGAAAGAAAGAATGATCAAGCTTAACAAAATGCCAAAAACAAACACCATTTTAAGGAACGTGTGATCTTCTTGGCAGGTAGGTCTTGTTTTTAGGTAATGATCCACAGAATCAGCGAATGAGAATTTCTTTGGTTTGTAACCAAGTTGATTTCGTGCCTTGTCTATTCGGAACGTGTGAGTTACTGTGACATTCCACACCTAGGAGCCAAAAGGACAGTTATGGCAGTGACTTTAAAATCCAGTTTTCTAGAACTTGGATGAAAATATATCAATGATATTACAATGGAAACAGAACAGAAAACAGCTGCAATGCAGAAAATCCAAAGAGTGTATCATGTTCTTAATGAGCATCTGAGTCAGAAATATATAAACATCTTTTTTTTATTAATTTACCTCATTTCTTGTCAAGAAAGGTGTAAAGCTAAAAACTGGCTTTAGTATCAGGTGCAGATATTCCATCACAGTGGCTGTGAAACAGAAATTACTTAATGAGACATCTGGTTAACAATAAACTGAGACAATGCTGAGATTATACATCCCGTAATTCCTACTGGTAGAAGGCACAGTTTAATTTATAAAGTACATGATGAGTTTATTAATAGCCTTTAAACTTTATCTACTATAATTAATACCACATGGCACAAGTGATTATTCTCAATTAAAATAATTTTAATTTAAATAATTCCTGCAATTTGGGTCCCTGCATTTTATGAAACCACTATGTAGCTTAATAGGAATAAAAAAAAAATATCAAACAACCCACAATAATTAAGAATGTAGTTTATTTTTTTACCTGCTATATGAACCAGGAGAACAGGAATATGTATCCAAGGTTTCCTGTAGCCTAATTTTTCAAACTAGAAAGGGTATAAAAAGAAAGAATAACAGAAAACTTACACAAAATTGAAAGTGTCAATGAGGCTTGAAAATGTAAAAAAAAAATTTAAAGAATGTTGATAAAACTTTTATCTAAACTTTTTTTTTTTCCAGCTAGTCTTTCTGTCAATACAGGTAGTAAGAAATTTAATTGAAACCCACAACTCATTCTTTGGTGCCCACCTCCCACCCTTCATCTGCAATTGGACAGTAAAGGGGAGTAAAAGGCCATTTCCAAGGGGGAAGTGACCCAGACTGGAATACTGAACTACAGTCAAATACAGGCCCAATTTTCTGCTGCAGTCATTTTCTGTGATGGCATTGCAGGATCAAAACTTTGGCATGCTCCTAGAATCCCAGGCTGATATTTCTGAAAATACAGTTGTCTCTTTTTAGCTTCTAAGATTCTGAATGGGCTTCCCCTCTGTGCTGCAGCTGATGCCAGGACAAAGGGATAAGCAATGACTGTAAGAGTCCTGCCAGATGCCAGTGGCAGAGCTTGCCATGCACTGTGGGTTTGCTCCATGAAATGCTCTGTCCTGCAGCAGGTTCTGGACCTCCCAGCTAAATCCTCTCCAAGCAGTAAGGCCAAACTCCACAGTTACACGTATCCAAAACTTCCCTTAACACCAGTGGAACTTTGGGACATGCAGGTAAAACAGGACTGAGTTTAATGTTAAGTAATTCAGTAATTTCTGTGCACTGAACTTCATTTAGTTGGTCTGGTGTGGCAGTCAGTGACAGGGCTTGTGCCCATGCAGTGCTGGGGGCTGCAGGGCTCTGCAGTACCTACCAAAGGCACAAACCACTCAGAGAAGATGACATTTTCACCATCGTGGATGTAGTAAGCCTGGCCGCTCTGGTAAAGAAGCAGAGAAAAACAGTGACAAAACTGTGCCCAGGATGGCATTTTCTGTCTCTGTCATACCTACCTGCCTGTCATGATTTTGTGAGTAACACAGCAGCATGCACAAGGTGGATGTACACAGAGGAAACTGCCTTCACTGGGCTTCACTGTGGTAACCCCACACTGCTGGCAGGGCTCATGGTGATTAACCATGGTGTACTGTAGATCAGAGCTCAGTTTCCCCATGGAGTAGCAGCTGTTGGAGCATTATGTTCTTCATAATGGCACAGAATGAGCTTTGTGAGTCCAACAGAAGGGGCAGCACTGATGGCATTTAACAAACACAGCCCTGAGGTCGAGTTCCAGCTGTGCTCTGGGTGAGGAGTCTGCCCAGCTCTGAGTACCAGGAACACCTGAGCACCCAACAAACCTCTGGGAATGGCATCAATCTAAAACAGCTGGGTGGCTTCCAAGGGCTGAACTAATTGAGAACACATGGAGAGGTGTTCACCCGTGTCAGTCCCTGTTTTCTGTGTGTTCCTACCAGTCTAAAGGAATCCGGGACCTTCAATAACTGTGAATGAAGCAGCTGCTGCAGCACTGTCAGTTCTGTAATGCTTCACAGTCCTCAGATTGGCGTTGCAATTGTGACCAGTGGAACCAAAAAGAAAAACCTTTAAAAATTGCCCATTAAAAATTGTCCAATGGACAATTTCTGGAATTTTCAGCTCTGAAAATTCAACTGTAATGCCTCAGAATGGTTGCTCTAAATTTAATGCATTTAGGTCAGAACCTATTTTGAAGAGAATAACAGGATATATAGATTTGTTTAATGGTGGATATATTAAGCTAGTTAAAAATACAGTTTCCTCCAATAACCCAAGAAATTATGTATTTTCAAATCAAACAAAAACACCATCAAATTATGAGTGAAATGTATTTGCATTTGCACTGTCTGTGTGCTTGTGGAGCTACACACTGTTTTAGAGAATTTAGCATATGACTTTTTGGACACACTTTGATCTCAAAACATCAAAAATGAAACCTGTTTGAAAACTCAAGCTACTGGTGATTAAACTGTTTACTTACAGCTATGTAGTCCTTCTCAGAGGTGAGCGCCTCAGCAGCCAGTAAATGAGCTTGCACTAGATTTCCTATGTGAACCCAGTTCATCTGAACTTTGTGATTCCCAAACTTGAAGTTAAAAAGTCTGCGCTGGATATTTATCTGTAGAAACAGAAAACACAGGATAACTACATTATTCCTTTATTATGCACTATAATATGATTTTGTCTCAACCCAATTACTTGGGATTTGCTGTATTTGTGTACAATTACAGCACAAGAAACCTGCCACAAGGAAAAATCCAACAAGTGGGTGGTTTTGGAAATCAAAGATGGTTGCAGTGATAGGCAGTGGCAAAATATAGTATTATTTATATTTATTTATATAGTATTACAACATTATATTTTTGGCAGAAATTAAAGTGCATATTTAAAAGACAATTTCCATTAAATGGAGGGATGCAAGCCTAGTTCCTTTACCACAGCATTTCAGCCTTCCACTTTTCCTTTTCACTGAGAAGCCCAGCTTGGTCCTGGCCCACAGTGCTGGTTTCCTCCTATTTATTACCCTGCACCCCATCACCTGTCCCCAAGCTTTCACCACATTCCTGCAGGAATGGTTAAGAACCGCAATCAAGGTACTGCCACTTGTGCTATGCCCTTACAACTACTTGTGGTGTCCTCCAGAGCTGCCTACAAAACACATACGGCTACTCGAGGCAGGTGCCGCTGCTCTTCTGGTCCGTAGATGCCCGGCGGGCGAAGCACACACGTGTGGAGCTTGTCCCCTCCTTGGAGAGAGAGCAACAGGTGACTGTCAGACAGCTGTGACAGCAGCAAAGGCCTGACACATATTGTCTGAATTTTACACTGACAAAATTAAGGCTCATTTTGACTATTCTGAGGGGTTCAGCTTCCTGGGAACTTGATTTTCTTTCTGTGTGAAATTGAATTCAATAGCTGTGACAGACCTGAGCTTAACAGCCTGAAAAACCTTCTTGGGGTTACAAGAAGAGCCCATTGGACAGTGCTTACAAATTGGTATTATCAGAACTGCTAATTATCCACTGAAGAAAGGAATAGAAACAAATAAATCCTTATTTCAGTTAAAGTATACTATTGATGAATGAGCAACCAAAGAAAGGAATGCCCATTAGCACTCCCAATGACAGAAAAGGCCCAAATGCTTTATATGTACCTTTGAGTAAAGTTCCATTAGCAGCAAGAACCATTTGGTCTGCAATTGCCTTGGTTCTGGAATAATGATTAAATTGCTATAAGGAAGCAGAATAAGATAATTATTGAATCTGTAAAGGCAAACTTATTGTTTATGACTGACAACTTTTCAATCTAATCAGCTTACAGATGTCAGCTGAGCAAAACAAAGCTAGAAATAGTAAGATTTAGTCAATATGTAGTTTGTTTATGACAAAAACCAGATTTACACTTTAGTGGCACAACTTTAGCTTCAGAGCGAATTTGAGTCCATTTGTATGTACTTAACTCACTTTTTGTGCTGAATGTACTGAGAACATCTACAGTAAAACAGCTTCTGCTCTCAGAACAGCCTTCACACAATCTACCCTTTGGAGCACAGTAAATGCCACACCATCCCATGGACAAAGTACCTTTTCCAGTGGAAAATACGGTACAGTTTCTTCATCTCCTTCTTCAATAGGATTCCCTCCAAACACCACATTCACTGTACTGGTATATATCAGTCTAGGGATATTTCTTTGTTTGCAGACTACAGTGATACACAAAATAAATTATTTTAAAACAAAAATAAAGAGGGAGAAATAGCTGCATTGGCAGATTTTCTTTTTGAAAATAAACATTACAATTATAGAAAAAAGGTAATACTTTAATGTTACCTTATAATTTAATATAATATTATCTTCCATTCACCTGGAATTTTTCATTGAATATGCAAATCGTACACATTGTGGTCACCAAATGTTTCATGATGAGGTACCTGTAACTATCATATCATGGATTGCAGTTACTGGGGAGAGGAATTATCTTGGTGGGGGGAAAACTCCTCCTTGAGAAACTTTTCTTAAAAAATGTTCATTTTACAAGTTGAATGCAGAGGAGATGAGTAAGAACATTTGTTGTGGTACAGCCCTTGGGGCAGTGCTGTGGGGAGCAGCCCCTCCAAGGCCACTGGGTTCCCCTTGGTTCCATGAGCTGCCTCCTGCACCCCACTTTGACGGGACATGAAGTCACCCAGGAGCACGGGCCAGCTGTGCCCACATGCCACCAAACTGCCTTGGTCTCAGTCTGCTCAGCAGTGACAAATGATGTGTTAACAGGAAAACATACTCTGCTAGTGTATAATCAGTCATGCTTTAATTACAAAGGAAATTAATGTTATTTGCAAAACAAAGACTTAATTGAGGATTCCAGTCCTGTGTAGCCAAGACATTGCAGCATTCTGCTGCATATCTGTCATTGCAAACTTGAATAATGTAAATTTCCTTTTCATTTAACAATATTTCTAAAGTTGAAGAGAATTAAAATGCAAACTCATGAAATTTTAGAATTTGCAGAACAGTCTGTCCTGCTGGTTCATTGGCTCATTTTGAAAATAATACATGTTAATTATTGTAAATATTTGGGAAAAAATACAATAGTAAGGTGTATTGTTAAAATGCAGATGGGCAAGTTCATGCTCCTCCCAGTATCTTGGTTTTATGGGAGCCTATGGGATTTGACATGACATGTTTCTGTGGGTTTGGAGGTTGGGGAAGGAAGAAGGCAAGATGTGGCAACTCTTCCTTCTAACTCATTTAGAGTTTTACTTGCCTACTATTCCATTTCTGCATTTTTTCAGTAATAACACACAGTCAGCATGAAAATTAATCTAAATAAAAACTGATTTTGCTATTTTGCTGCCTTTCCACACACCTTCCTCCCCCCCACACCTGGTTTTTGAAGGAAAAACAAAGAGAAGGTAGCTTTGGTATTTACAATACACTGGGAAAACTTTCTTTCTGGAACTGAATATACCAAAAGAGATGTACTGGAATCTTCCAGAGACAGTAGTTAAGAATCTGTGTATAATAAAAAGGGGTCACAGTAAGCAGAAAGGATGGAAGGTTTTCTGTATCAATGTGATAAAATAATAGCTAAATATACATCTGTGATCCCTGTACCAAATGTTTATGACACAACAAACAGTACAACAGTTCTCATGTTATTTCTATGAGGAAGGGGGATAACACTTCTCCATTACACAGAGTAAAGGCAAAAAATAACCATGGAGGAGAGCTTTAGATGGACTGCCAAGGAATGAAGTCCAGGTTGAAAACCTATCCCCAGTTCAAACTAGTGGCAAATCTACCAGCTGTAATGGGACCTGCATATTCTGACAGGGGGGAGAGAAGAGCCTCGTTTTACTGCCTCACCTCCACAGGAAACATCCAGTTAGAAAGTTTTTAAATTCATTATTTGGATCAGATGCAGAGAAAGAAAATCTAGGTACCTACCATCAATTATTATTTTTGTGCCTCCAACATTTATGGATTCAATCTGATCTTTCTTTTGAAGCTAGAAATAGAATTTGCACAAGATTTAATTAATCAAACAAGTCACATTTACCATATGATGTTCCAATTGCCAGATCTACAATAGCTGTGGTCTTCTTGTGGTGCATGTTACAGTTCTGTCTGACATACAGTGATTTCTGACAGTTCTCATTTTTATTGTCTTGTTCGGTGTATGAGCAAAGAAAGTTGAAAAATGAAAGATAAATACATCTAAAAGGAAATAATAGTACTTCAATATTTTGTCACACCCCAAATAATCCACGATATAGAAACAACAATAATGGGCAGGGGTTATGCTCCCTGAAAGCTTTCACAAATTCTTGTTCTAGTGGCAATCTGTCCTGTTACTAGAAATAAATTAGTAGGTTCATGATTTTTTTGATAGTCACCTTCTGTGACTATCAATGTAATTCAGCATAACATATAGATTGTGGTCTGTTTCCTCATGACTGAGTTCACAAGACAAAAATGCATCAGTATTAGTTTTAGAGCGATGCTGTCACTCTTCTTCAGAGCAGAGAAAAAGGCTACACCTTCTTATCCAAGATTCTAAAACTATGATCTCATTTTTCTAGAATATTTTGTAGTACATTAATTTCACACTTTGACTTTATTATTTAAAGAATACCTCCCTTATTTTCTGTATGGATGACTTGGCCTTTACAACAACTTCTGACATAAATATTGTAAAATTACGTTCTTTGATACATGCAGACAGTTTTTTTCTTTCTCAAAAGTAACCAAAGAAAACTTTAGGAAAATGGTACTTGCTTGTTCCAATCCCGACATTCCACATGCAGCTACATGGAAAACACAGTCAACCCCTTCACATGCTTTGAACACTGCTTCGTAATCCCTCACATCACCCTGAAACACGAGAGAAGAATGGATTTTTGACAGGTAGAGCTCATTACATTCTCTATAGAACTGTATTAACTATGGCTAGCAAGGAAAATCTAATGGTACTCTGGTTCTGTTTTTCACAGTATTTAACAACAATTAAATAAAATATTATGAGCAGGTAGAAAAAGCAGTGACTAAGAATTTTGCCATTATTTTGTTGCAAAACAAAGATGACTCTTGTTGGCTTCAATTATAATGCGTATTTTCACACTTAGTCCTGCAGCCTCCAGGCTGGCAAAACTTGTTTGACTTGAATGGGAGCAGCAAGTGCTCGAGGGCTGGAGAATAGAGCCCCAGGGACAATAAATCATAGCAGGAGGGGTTCAGCTGCCTGCCTTGGAATCACCAAATATTTCAAAATATTACGTCTTATATTATTTCCTGCAATGAAATTGATAGAATAACATAGAATAATTGATAGAATAATATTAAGAGCTAATCTAACCAGTCTTTAACTCTCAACTTTTTTCTCCAAGGTTGCCAAAGTATTTCACAAATACAGCTGACTTACACCTCCCACTCTCAATGCAATGCTACAGAAGCTAACCAGTATAAACAATATTAGCCATCTCCAAAACACTGCTCAAACCTCTGAAGTTACTTATTAATTCATTTACTAGGACTCCATAGTTCAATTTTCCAGGTGACTCTCCTATACTTTGTAATATTTATTCTTTCTAAACTGATTTATAGATCATTTGTGAGATCTCGAGTCCCCTTTAGAAGATGTAAATTGCCACCAGTCAACAAACTTAAATCAAATTATGTAGACTTATAGCACCAACAAATCAAGCTTATGGTGTTTGAATGGTTCTTCAATAATAATTTATCCCTCTTCCATATTCTGTAAAAGTTGTTTATGAAATTGAACTTAAAAACATCCTGGGTCAGACAAGATCTGCTTGGCTTGGTATTCTGCTCTTCCCAGAATCCTCCATCCCCCTCTGCCTCCCTTCCACCTGCCCCAGAGGGTGATTTAGCCCAAAGGAGGAAACTTGGCATCACAACGACAGCCCACAGGATCAAGGTCCTGTCATCCCTTCCAGCTCTGCCATCAACTTCCCAGTTCTAGGGGGAGTGGCAAACTCTCTTATAGTAAATGCTCAGAAAAGATCAGCTGAGCAATACCCTGGGTTTAGCCAGAATTTGTGTGACATGACAGGAGCACCCAGAAAGTGCCCCAAAGCCCAAACGTGGAGCAGCTGTGAGAGGTACTGGGGAGTGTGTTCTCCACTCATGGCAGTGAGATGTCAAATACTGGAGAGCTCTTGTGTTCCCCTTTTTCTCAGACACAGTAATTCCTTGAATTGTTCAAAATCAAAAAGAATCAGTGCTCATAAACGGGTTCTGCAGGAAGAGCGTGAACACGGCAAGCAAATGTGGTGCTTCCCCCAGAATGCTCTTCTAGTCCTGAAGCATTTTCATTCAGAAGATTTCTTGAGCCTAATTTAATTTATCTATTCAGCAGTTTCCAACAGAGGTAAATTTTTCTTGAGGCTTTGTACATGCCTTGTACCCACTGCAAGAAAAGCCACATAATTTTGTTTGTACTGAACTGACTCCTCATTCTTGATGGCCTTTCCTGCTTGTACTGGAAGGACAGTGAACAGTGCCACTCACAGCCTGTAGAGCTCTCCTGCTCCTGAGTCACCTCTTTCCCAGCCTGGAAATCCCAGAAATCACAGTTTTCTCAATCATTCTCTGCATGGCAGTTGTTTGGCATTTGTGATCCCGGTTACTGCCCTGTCTTGGCTCTCACTTTTTCACTTGAAATAATTCCCCTGAGCAGGAACCTTTGTCCCTTCTCTGGTCACTGTTTCCCTGGGGCGCTGAATGGCACCTCCCAGCAGAGCATCACAGGTGACACTGGAGACACTGGGACCCTGTTTGCAATCCCTTAATCAGGTATTTATGCATGCAAGGACCTTTTACCATGGCTTCTTCTTGTCCTGAAAGGCTTTTCCATAAATGTTTTAATCAAAGGTCCTTAAGAGGACGCCTTGATAATGAGCATTAGACATTAACTCCAACCTACCTTGAAAAAATCCGCTCCGCTCGGAATTTCCCATTTAGGTTTCCGAACATCAAAGAGCACAACAGCAATTCCCGAGCTAACAAGGGCACATCCCAGATTGTATCCCAGGTAGCCTCCACCTCCTGTCACCATTGTCCTGCTGCTGCTGGGAGCCAGCAGCCCAGCAGGCTCTGTCACTTGGCTCTCGCAGGGTGGGCTGCTGTGGAGCTCTTCCGTGGATCCCTCTGGCATCACGACTGCAATAGAGAAGATCTCTTGAAAATTCCTGCATGACGCTTTGAGGTCTGGGTTATTTAAATTACTTTCACATTACAATGCTCCCATACTAGTTTTATTATCTTAGTATGTTTAAAATGTATAAATTCATAATTCTGGGGATGGGTTTTCTATGTATAATGTTTAATGAGTCTGAATACTTTTATATTCCAAGACTTAGTCTTTTCCTCATATCCCTAAATTTCATGCAATATAGAAATGAAGTGAAATTACAGGATTTTAGAGCCATTATAATTACCTAACCGTAACAGCTATGATGGCATTTTTAAATACTTGGTTTCATCAAACATTTTATTCTTGAAAACTCATTAACTTCTGAGATATTAATGTCAAATTGATGTTATCCTACTAGTCAGGAAAATAAACCAAGACATTAGATAAGCAATATAAGAAAGGATACATTCTAGTTTTAGAATCAACTTTATTTCACATTTGGGTCTTTAGCAATGATGAAAGTTTGTTGCCATTCTGAGCTTTTCTGGTTATACATTAAATATATATTTAGTTTTCTGTCCAGTTCTCACTAATTTTTGGCCATATTGTTCTCAGTAGGGCATTCATAGACAGCTAAACCAACAAGGGGCAGAAGAGATAAGCCATCTGCCCTGTGAGTTCATCTAGTTGGGAAAACTTATTAGAATATCATTCTAGGATAACAACTCCATAGGAGTTACCCATCTGTACACTTTATTCTGTATTGCAAATTAGTTTATTCAACATTAATCACTTGTCCACCAAATTTAATTTGGCCACACAAAGAGCCCCTGCTTGGCCTTTGCACATTGGGATCTAGGCTCTTATACCCCAAACAAAAATCCAGAAGGAATCTGCAATCATTCATGTCACCATAAAGTGGGAGCCCAGCTGGGTGCCTGCAGCCTACTACAGGAATATGGACCCAATCTCTGCAGATTATTTTGGTTTTCTCATAGTTGGAGAGCTCCTCATGTGAGAGGAGCCTCACAGTTAAGTACAGTTTGCTCTCAGCCATTTACACCAAGCTTCAGCAGAGCCCAGGCAGAAATGGGGCAGAGCTGGGAGCTGGCAGCTCTGTCACTTCCAGGTGACAAAAAAATTCTAGAAAAGTAACACAAAATGCACCCACAGCACATAAAATTACGGACTACTTTAGCCATTGCTTACTTAGTGTTTTATAATTTTGTTTGTGATATTCTTCTTATTTTATATGTTGGGTTTCAGATTTCAGACACAGGAAAGGACCAAATTGTCCATGCTCTTACATGCTTTTAACACCAATGTCAGCTCACTCAATTCAGTAAACTGAGTGGCATGAGAGTGTAAAACACAAGCTCCTTATGTTGAAAAACATCCTGACATTTCAAAAATTAAAAATAATCCATGTTTCCAAACAAAATTTAAATTACAACTAATATAATACAACTAAAACAAATATGCTGTCCTGTTCAAGCAAGGAAACATAAATTTGTATCTCTAGAGTATGCCATGCAGGAGTCTTAAGCCACATAAAATTTTTTTGCCTTCTCTTCTGAGAACAAGCATCTTTTTATACATTGTAAGGAGAAGTAAAGTCAAGCTTATCACATATATTGTAGAAATGGTATATATTTGAATATTTGTCATTAATATCTCCTTAAAGTTTTAGTAAGCTGGAGATTGCATAAAAAAGTTTAAGTTTTCTAGAAATCTCTTTCTTAAAAAGCATAAATAGCATTAGTACATTATTCTGCTTCATGGATTTAGAAAATTGTTTTCAAATGTTGAACATAAGCAGTTTTCTTTTTGAAAATGCTTCTTTTCGGAATCAGTAACTTTCTTTTTTCCCTGAATTTATAGGAGATATTTATTAATGTATTCTGCATGATGAGCATAGTCACATCCCATGCAGCACATGTAGTGCGAGTTGCTTTTAGCTCCCCATTTCAAATATCAGAAATGTTCAAATTACTTCCCATAAGAAGTTAAAGTCACACACATCAGGTTTTTAGAAATAGCTAAAGAACTAGTAAGTACCCTTGGTAGAATCCTGCTGTCAGCGCTCTCCCAGGCCTTCCTGTGCAGGTAGGAGGGTGAGGTCTCTGTGCTGGACAATTCCTGACTCAAGGGCATCAGGTGCTCCCAGGCAGGCAGAGAAGTTCACGTGTGCTCAGGCCTTTTGCTGTTCCTGCTCCTTTGTAGCTGCTGGTTGGCTGGGACCCAAAAAAGGGCAGGGCTTAATTTGTGCATAATTTACGTTCCTTTTCAGGAAAAGAAATTAAAAATTCTCCACATCAGACCATTCTTAACAGGATGGTAGCTCTCATTTGTCTGATAAAAGTATAAGACACTGCACAACACAAACATACTGTTGGTACCATCATCCTGTAGATAAACTACTAGAGAAGGAACAAAAATCCTGTTTGGCAGTGCTACTCAGCACTTTCATTCTGACTTTTGTATCTCCATCCCCAAAATTTTGTATTTGCAGAGAGGCTTAATTGCAGGCACATGTGTTGTTCTCGGGCTTCCAAGATGAATATGAAGGTAATAAACTACCTTGTACATAACAGAACAGGAAAAGGTGATGTACTGTTAAATAATGCATTTAAATGAATGATGAATTAATAAATTTATTAATAATTATATATGTGCCGTGTCCTCAGATTTTGAAGTAGTTTTAAAACAAATGCTTTTGCGAGTTAAACAATGAGAAATCAAAGCCAGCATTTTTAAATGGGTGTGTCTAAAATTAAGTCTCAAAACAGTAGTTAAGATGCTAAAGAAACACTCCCACATCTAAATATAAATTACTACAATTTTCAATGTTTGCATGTTAGAAATAGCTCAAGTTCATAGGTAACCAATCGCAATTTAAATGTAATTTAATGTTCATGTGCTGACAAGAGCTCAGACTGAGACCTAGGCAAATGTATTTTCACATAACATGTATCAGGGACCAGAATTTAGAACCAGAATATTGAACCTGTCAAATTAATCTGCACTTCTTGGATTGCTTGGATTGCTGAGTGAGTGACAAGCTCAGCTCACAGGAAAACCCCCAAGAACAAACACCAAACTGTCTGTTTTGAGCTGTCCACAGCCCTGACAGCTTTTACCATTTATTGCAATAAATAAAGTGTCCATTCTATCCCTGAACTATTCCAGAACTCCTTCACCAGTCAAAGCAGCTTGTCAGCTTATTCAAAGGATATCAATCCCTCACTCTTCAGTGAAATTTAACAAAGAGCATTTTAACTTGGCTTTGGTTTCCACCTTGGCAAGAAGGGGATACCTCAGAGGAATTTTCAGAACTGGTATTTTGTACCTCTCCAGTTATGCTTATTTTCTTACCTTTACTAAAGAAGGATGGTAGTATTTTATTCAATGCATCCTGCCAAGTATTTCTGAAAGAAACAGAAGATAAAGTTACAAGAAGAAAAGCTGCTGCATTAAGATTGGAGCTTGCTTTTGGTCAAAACTCTCTACTTCCTTTTTCTACTTTTTCTCATATGACCATTCATAGTTCATGTAGGCACATAGGAAAAAACAAAACATTCAGTACATCCAGTATTTATAGCAGATGACTGTACATTACAACAGGAAGGTGTCAGGGAGTTTGTCCATTTATTTACATGGAGGAGGTCCACATTTCTGAAATGTTTGGCTTATCAAAATGTTACTCACATCCAGACTGTAAAGCAATGTTGAAATGTAATTGCACTGTTTCATAGAGGAACCCAGTAGGCTTACACAAGTTTATTTCAAATCACATGCTGCTGAAGCCAAGCCTGAATTGAGTAAGGAGGATCTGGCATAAGACAGACAAGACAATCTCTGTCCCCAGCACACAAAGCCTGGTCCCTGTGCTGGTTCTGAACACTGCTGGGTACTGGACCCCAGAGGGGTCTGGCCCAGAAGGCAGAAGTGTGAGACCAGGTCTGTGTCCTGGTCACTAGCAGGTCCTGTGAACGTCACAGCTCTGCACTCCCAGGTCACAGAACAGGAGCTGTGCTCCAGCTCTGGGGTAACCTGAAGAATGGCTTTCAAGTGTGGAAGATCTTATGCAGAAAGGAGCCTTTAACAGAATAACCAGAGCGTGAAGAGCTCAGGAGAGGTGTGAGTTAAGATGACAGCCGGATATTTGGTGTGTCACAGGCAGGATGGGATGTTCTGGAGTGCCCAAGGGCAGAAGAATAGCAGAAAATCAGAAGAGACTAAGCTCTCTCTTAAACTTACTTAAGGACAGGGTTTTGCTGAAATAACCTGCCATACAAAAGATAACCTCTCTTCAGTTGACTTATTAAAAATTTCTGCATCTAAGCCCTGAATTAGTAGAGTTGTCCAAGCTTGCTGTGTGTTTGAGCACCTGCTCATGCAGTTGTTCAGATGCAGATGCCCCATCAGGGGTACTGACACAGCCTGTGAACTCAGCGTGGTGAGACTCCTTTGGACAGGGCACGGAGTACTGATTCCCTCTGCAGCCCCAGAGAAGTCTGGGCAGAGCTGTTCAGGGCGTAAATACTTTTGACTAAGAGAACTTACCTCTTTGTGACTACAAAAACAACCACCCCCATAACAAGGATGTCTAAGACAGCAGAGAGCTGAGAGAAGTGACAATAGCAAGATATTCACCCTTTATGTGAGAGAGGACAGAAAATGTTAAAAAGCATTTAAATCAGGTCTTGCAATGTTAATGGATGAGAAAAAGAGTAGAGCTCTCCTCTAATTATGCCTAGCTGTGCTTAGAATTTTAGTCAAAAAGATTAATCATAGGGTCTGAATTTGGGATCTTCAGAATATTTTTCATATAACCAAATGCTAAACATTGGTACGTATCAAACATTTCTAAGGCATGAAGCCATCCTTTAAAAAGTTTACCAACACGATATTGATACAACAACAACAAATGCAATGTAAGACCCAAATTGTTATGATAACACAACATTCTTCACATCCCTTACTAAATTAGAAGAGTAAGACACAGAGGCAAAGAAACTTACCCATGTCATGCTCCAAGTCCAGGCCAGAAGGGAAAGGAAGATGCAGATCCTTATTCCTTGCTGCAAAGCTAAGGGATCAGGTTCTTCTTAAATCCCTCCATTCTTCATTAACATACATAAATATTCGCACTCTATCCTTCCTTTTTCTTGTTTCTTTGTGTATTTGTGTTACAGTTCTGCATATTTCACTGCTTCCTCACGGAAGGAATAAACTACACATAAATACAGCCTTGGAATGTGCCCCATAAAATGCTTTTCAAATGACTTTGTTCTCATTTCCTTTGCATTCGTGGTTACTTTGCATGTTACACAGATTGATTTACAGGTCAAATGAAATGATAACTCTGAGCCTGCATTGCCAAGTCAGGATGGAATTACAGGAAGAAACAAAGCAACATCTCACAGCAGCAACGAACATTCCTGTATCAGCCCTTGGGTCTTGTTAAAGAAGAGGACAGTTTATGCAATATTTGAATGGAAGGAATACAAATGCATCATAAATAAAAATACTGTGTTACACGTTTCTATACAATTAGCAGGGATCACAGCTTGGCTTGCTACACATGGGAATCACAGAGACAACAAAAGCTTTGAACAAACTAAACAAATGCACATTTGAAAGAAATTATAACACCAATTCCAACAGGTTATTTGCTAGTTTTTACTCTATTTAGAAAAGCCTTGGTACCACATTAGGAATGGCCATGGTGGCAGAGGCAGCCCATGTCACTGAAAGGAGATAAACTTGTTTCTTACAAAGTCTGCCTAAGCTACTTATCAAATTCTGGGTAGAATTTAAGATTCTAAGTGATGAACACTCATGTGACATGAATTAGAAATTATCAGACTCCTTACAAATTCCTTCTGCCAGCACACTCACTACCTAAAACCTAAATTATCATTATTGTAACAGAGACGTGGAAAAAACACTGGCAAATTTCTGGAATTGCATTTTCCCTTCTTCCTCTGTCTTCCTATTACTTATTTATTTATTTAAACTAATCAGCAAGCTGACATCTCATAGGCATCTCTTTGAGATGGTTTCACAAAAGACCAAAGTTCAATGGAACGAAATATGCATCTGATTTAGATGCATTAAAGTGATTCAGTGAAAATTCCTGTGACTTAGTTGTATTAACACATTTGGGTGCCTAAAGTCTTGGAAGTTTGTAGTTACAAATCTAGATACATGCTGACAGTAGCAACATGCTTATAAGGCACAGAGAAATTCTTACTGAAGAGAAACTCACACTGCCATTACCTTCCTTTGAAGCAGCGTGAACTGCTGGAGGCGACTCCAATTCAGGCATATTTGGATGGAGGAATTTGTCACTATGCCAAGCTGTCCCACCCTTCTCCTGGAAGCTGTCCCCTGAAGCAGCTATGGCTGAACCATGCACGAAGGAGTTCCTGAACTGCCAGTCCTTGCTAAGGGTTATGAACATCTGCACCAGTTAAACCTAGCTCAGCAGCTGGAAACTGGAAATTATGGCAGCACATGAGCTGCTCCACACAGAAATTCCCAACTCCTGCTGTGAAAGCAGCACTCTCCTGAAGGGGGTGGCACACACACGTGGTGGTAGCAACTGGTTTAGCCATTTGTCTTTAATTCACTGCTCACAAATCAGCATATTCAGTGAGTCACAGCAATGACATGACTTACAAACAAGCTGGCTGAAGAATATGCATTTGGTCAATTATAAATCTCCTCTTGTATCATGTCCTGAATACAGTGGGTTGCATTCCAGCAAACACAAACCAGGAAAGCAAATGACACCGAGCTGACAGATCAACACTGAAGTCACTGAGGTCAGCCCCACTGAGGCATCTCCTGAAAACACCTTCCTGGATGAGCAGCCCTCAGCCTGATGGGAGCAGGCAGGATGGGAGTTTCCAGGTAGGTAGGAAGGAGATGGAATCTGGAATCTGTATTCCAAAGGAAGGAGCTGCTCTGAGGAGGCAGCAGGGCAGCCAGCCTGTGAGACCACAAAGCTTTGGCTGCACAGGCTGAACACACTTACAAAAGAAGAGAACGTGAATGGGGTGTAATGGCACAATACTGTCATACCTGCCTCTTTTACAGCTTCTCTGCTTACACAGATTCCAACAACAACGTTTGCTCCTTACTTTTCATTGCATTTTCTTGAACAGGAGGCTTAGAAGCCCTTAGCTCATACCACCAACAAAGAGAAGGCTCCTGAGTTCCCCACACCTACTTGGAGTGAGATCATGCTCAGGAGAACCAGAGAAACATGCTGTGCTCTGCCCATGGAAACAAACACCCAGTCCAAGGCAAAACAAACAGCTCAGTGAGGAGTATTAATGTAGGCTGCCCCAAATTTGGGTTACGGATCCGCTGACAATCAGCCAATAGAGATACTGTGGAAACACAATTGTTTTGATAGAGTAAAACCTCTGACACCAAATATTGTAAGGGGGGGGGAAGACTCTAAATGAGAGCTTTGACAATTGCAGTCTAACACAACAGACTGAAATATTCTGATGCTTATCCACAATTATGATCGTACTTTGCAAAGAGCCTCTGATACCATTTAACACATCTGCACGAGTGTGTTTCCTTCTAAGTTCTTTTAAAATACTTTTATAGGAATATAGGAATGTATGCTACAGAACTGTGACATTTCTTACATCATCCAAGAAACAAATAAGAAACCCTTTTTGGCACTACAGAAAGCTCATCCTTTCTACCTGGATTTACTGTTTTAACATTTCTGTTAGTACAAATCCTCATTTTAATAGAGATATCATCTATACCCCAAACAGAAATGTAAACAACCATATTAATTTACAATTAGCATTTTCATATCAAATAATCTCAGCAGTTACACACAGCCACAAACAAAATCACAGAAAGTGACACACAGCACAAAGCACCAGTTTAACTGCAGCATCCTAGTAAAGGCTGGCACTAACATGGAAGGCAGGAGTCACCTAATTCAGAGCATACAACACTAAATAGATACATTTATGATAGAAGTAATTTTTAACTCTTTATAGAGACAAAAGAGATAAAGGGACAGAAAAGACACAATCTCCCATATCACAGCATAACCGGTGGCACAGAAGAGAGGCAAATGGCTCATGAATAAATGCAGGTCAGGTGCCTTAAATTTTGAAGTATGACTCCATTTTTATTATATTACATATATTAAACACATGAGATGAATTTCTAACCCTCTAAAAGACAGCAGTGAACATCTACAAAATACTAGTGAGCTGTCATTACAGAAATCAGTAAAAAAACAAGTATATTTCACAAATCAACTGATACTGGAAAACATATTTTTAATCTTTCTAGACAGGAAATATATAAGAACAGAACTGCTCAGAAGCTAGGCACTGTCTGGTTATACAAACACAACCAGGCTACATCAACAACAGGGTATTACTTTCTTGCATGGCTAATAATTTGTGAATCATCAGCTCTAAATCTTTCTTTCCTGCCAAAAAGCGAAGAGTTGAAATAATTATTAGCAAAACTTCTCTCTGTAAAAACATGAATTATAAGCTTTGTTTTCTGCAGTAAGGTAATATCTTGGACTTTCTATGCAAAACTGGCATAAGTAATTCTCTTCCTAACATCACAGCCATATGTCCCATCTGTTAAGGACAATAAGCACCAGTAAAGAATTCTCAAACCAACAGACAAAAAAGGCAATTTAGACATACCAGCAACTAACTGAAGAAATTATGATTGCAATGTAGTAAAAAAGAAACAAAAGTTGTGATCCTGTATCACTACGATACATACACTTTTAAAATTTCTTTTAGCTCTATTGAAAACTATCCTCTACTTATATTTACACTGTGTAGAGTTCAGGGCTTGATTTACTTTGAATTTTGCAAAATCTGCAAGTGGAGTCAGTGCAGCACTTAACATCTGCAACTTCTTGTCTTGCCAGCTGTTGTGACAACAAAGAAAAAAATCTTCTTTCCGCTTGAAGCTGGAAGTTGTGAACACACTTTGAAAAGAAGCAGGTGAATGGTAAGATTCCAAACCTCTTCAGCATCTTTTCTTCATCTAAAATTTAATCCTACAAGTGAAGCACATGAATACTTTTAAAAATACAACTCAAAAGATATAAAATGCATGGGCTCAGTGTCACTGTCAACAAAATAGTAATAGAAAAAACAATATAACTTAAACTGAAAGTAATCGAGTTTCCTCCCTTACACATTTAATGGGGCTACAGTGCTATGCCCTTTCTGGAGAATTTTAACAGGAATGCCTTCCTGTGCACTTCACCAGCAATACAATTTTCTTTGGAATGCTGAGATACAGAGATAGTTGTGGAACACAGCCTTTATCTCTGCATGCCAGTAACAGCTTCTTTGCTCCTATAGCATGGTTTTATATCTGCTCCCTCTCCAATCATTTCTTGTGAGTGATCAGCCCTTAAATGCTGAATTCTGCAGACTCAGACACACTCTGACACACTCCTGCACACCAGGCTCCAGATTCCACTCTCCATGAACCAGGCATTCTTAACCAGCAGGTGAGACTGGATTTTTTTTATTCCTATTGGAATGACTGGGCAATGTTTTTGACAAACAAAAGACAAACTACAGCTATAGAAACAAGAATTTTTAAAAACCCAGTCTAGCTCTGTATCTGATTTATCCAATTCATTGATGAGTATCTTGGCAGGCCAACATTCTCTAGTGCAACTCTGCAGTTGTCTGTGTCCATTTTTTTCCCCTCAAACAGCTCTGTGACAAATGCTTTTGTCTTGTTTAACCCTGAGAAAGTACTTCCACCCAGCAATTTCTCTTTTCCTGTGGTTTTTACTTTGCCAATTTAAAGCAGCAGGTTGGCTCTGTGAGAGGTTCAGTCTGCCCAGCTGCCTCTCCCACCACTCTGTAATGACAGTCCCATGTTGGCTGAGGATGTCTTTGCTGTTAGTGGGGTCCTTTGTCAGCCTGCCTTGTTCATTTAATAGATAAATCATGCAGCCCATGCAGCAATTGTCATTACAGCCATTACATCTGGTTCTAACTCTCTAATGCGCTTAACTGTTTGCTAGACCATTGCTAACTACAAATACACACCTGCTTTGCTCTTTTCAGCCCAAACAGTTCTCTTTGATCTCTTCTTTGGTTATATGGGGTTTTACTGTGGACTATCTCAGCTAAGAACTAAAATCACTACAAATGTTTCCAACTTTGGGAAAAGTGACTGCTAGAAATTAATACACTTACCAAAATATTACCCTTCTACTGAAATGCATGAACTATACATAAACTATGATGTAAATGTGGTGACTGTTTACCTGAACACTTTTTTGAAAGCCAGAGTCATCTTTTTGGTTTGTGTTCCATTTTTCAAGCAATAATCTGTTTGAAAGAAAAACAAACCCCAAAGAATTACAGCAGTTTTTCACAGAGGCACAGAACACCTTGGAGTCTTTGTTTAGCCCTGTCCTTAGGTGACTTTTCACTGAGGAGGTATAATGCATTTTAAAGTTCTTTGCGGGAACTTTTGCCTACTCTTCCTATTGAATTGGTGCTTTCTGGTTCTGGATTGGCAGTTAGGAAGGGTAACAATGAAGAAACATAAGGATCAATACAATCTAATTGTCCTTCACTCCTATTCTAGACAATTCTTCAGGCATATTTTTTTATATAACAGATACCGGGAGTCGGATATTCTTGTCTTCATTCCACAAAATAATAAATACAACAATTATTGATAAATACTCACCTCCAAGATTTTGCCTGCTTTAAGAAACTTCTAGCTTTTGCTACTTCTTCAGTAAGTTTCTTTAGATCATCTCCTTCAAAGTAAGGGAAAACTGGATACTGAAAACACAGTTAACATGTTTTTACTTGCACTATTTACTATTTTCTGTTTCCCCAGCTGAATTAACTGATCCTAAAGTCTAAATTTCCCTATTTGCAGAGAAGGTCTTGGTCATAAAAGGGGAGAGCAGAGCAAGCCTAGATTGAACCTGGGTCTGTACAGTAACATTTTTCTACTGTGGCAATGACTGAGGTCTCATGCTGGAGAATTAATATGCTAAGCACCATAAAAGAATGTTACAATTTAATGAAACACAAGATGGGAAGGATAAGGAGATAGTAAAAGCTGAGTTTAGCTTAAAACCACATGCAGACACATGATATATTTTTTACTTCTCTTTCAAAATCTGTATTGCACTGTGTATTCCTTTCATGGGCTTGGGCACCTCACCAAGGCAGTTAGCAGAAAGGCAAAAACAGAT